GTGTGTGTGTGTGTGTGTGTGTGTGTGTGTGTGTGTGTGTGTGTGTGTGTGTGTGTGCACGCATGGGAGTGATTTAGAAGGCAAATATGGATACGAGTTGGAGCAGATCCCAGTAAAGCACTGACACAGCCTTGTTTTTTTTAAAATCATACTTTTTTTTTCTGTCAATCATTCCCTCGTGTTTATTTTATCACCCGTCAATGTTGCCAAGAAAAAAACCGATAAACACAACAACCTCTCTGTGAAAATCATATGGCCTTCTGCTGGAAGCGCACTGGCCACGGCGTGTCCACGAAAGGCTGCGAGCTCAAAGGCCGCAGGGCCACCGGGGAGAGCGGCGCCAGCGGGGACGTGTGCAGGGACCGGGCCAGGAGCGGGATGGGATGGTGGGAGAGGAGGATGGAGGGAAACAGGGAGGAGAGGGAGAGGGGCGCGAGGTGCAGCGGGTGGGGGAGGGACGGCGGGCGAGCGGGAGAAGGCGGGTGGACGGCGGGAGACGGGGATGGGGAGGTGGGAGGCACGTGGTGGGGGATGGAGAGGGCCGCTTGCTGTAGAATGATGTGGTGAAGATTCGACATGGGGGGAGACGGTGGGAGAGGGGGGAGGCTGGGGACTCCCAGAGCCACAGGAGGTGTAAATCTCTCCTGGGGGGTTACGTGTYGCAGGGGGACATGGACGTGAAACGTGTGCTGGACTTGTCTTTGCAGGATGTCTGGGTGGATTATCTGAGTTTCAAGCTGTGCAGGGCTGTGCAAAGATGCAGCTTTGTACCGTTCATCAGGAGTCACATAACTGCCTGTGTGAGGGTTGTGTGTATACTCTGTGTGTGTGCGTATGTTTGCACTCTCCTGTGCATTTTCCAGAACTTTCTGCATGTGCTCTCTCGCCTGCTCCTGCAGGACACGGTATTTGTCCATTTCCTCAGCCGAAAAGCTGATGGGTGCAGCTGTCTCTCCACCTGCCTGTTTGTCATCAGTTCTAATCTGCGGCAGGCAGAGATTTGGGGGCCTGCTGGGATTTGACTCAGCAGTGTTCAGCAGACATTTGTGACTGTCAGCGGCTGTGCCAGCGTCCTCCCCGTGGCTCCTAGCTTCCTCTTCCCGCTCAGTTTCTAAACTCTTCTCCTGTCGCCCCTTTTCTCTCCTCGCCTTCCTCTGGATTGCGGGACGCTTTCCAATGAGCGGTAAAAGCAGYGCCCTGGTTGGCTTCTGAGGAAGAGCTGTGCCCGAGCTGCTCGTYGTGACACCGGCGGAGGGTTCGTGCTCAGGCCGGGGGCTTCCAACRCAGCGGTTTAGATGTGAGGCATTTGGGGCTGAATTTTGGGGGGAAGAACAGGAGATCAGGGCGGGCGGTGTGGACGAGAGRCCGCTGTGCTTCCCTGCTTCCTGAGAGGCTTCTGCAGCCGCCGAGGACGTCCCGCTGTTGATCGACCGATCCTCTGCGCCTCCTGAACAGGTGCTGCTCTTGCTCCACTCGCAGCTCAGCTCCGACATGCTGGTGCTGCTGCAGGGGCTGCACGAGCGTGGGCTGTGACACCTGCTGCCCCGGGCGCCCGTCACGCTCGGCTGTCGGCTCGTCCACCACTCGGGGCTCAAGAGGTGTCGTGAACCGGAGCGCCCGGTGCCGGTGCACCTCCACGCGCCGCCTGGGGCGTCTCTATCGTCGGCAGCTGCCTTGAAGCTGGAAATGGACCGACGTGTTCCTCGGTCCTCCCAGCTGTCGCTGCTGCCCCACGTCCACTCGCCCCAGTCCTCCGTGCTGAAGCGTCGGCGACTCCCGCCCCAGGTTTTAGGACTCGGGCTGAGCCCTGCCACGTGGTCCCACTCCGCTGCTCTGTGTCTGCAGCTGGTCCTCGCCCCGCCCTCCTCCTCACCCCCAGGCCCCGCCCATCCATTGCCCCCATGCCCCGCCCATCCATCGCCCCCAGGCCCCGCCCACTCCCACTGCTCCGTGTTTGAAACCAGGCCTCCGTCTCTCCAGCCCGAATGTCCGACCGTTTTCCCCGCACTCCTCTCCCAGGCGTCGCCGCTCCCCTCGCCCTGAATGAACTTCCTGTCCCCGTGGAGGAGTTTTCTCTTTTTCGCCGGGCCGCCGCCGCAGCTGTTGTCAGGGTAACAGCAGTCAATGAAACTCCTGATGTTGCCATGGTGACCCCGTTCCCAAAACAGCGTCGGGTTTCGACCCGGCGAGAAGCAGCGAATGAAGACGCGAGGCTGCCGGGGGAACGCTGCCACCCCTCCATCTCGCTGCCTCCCCCCCTCCGTATCTCTGTGGGCTGCGTGTCGGCCGAGCCGGGCGGCGGCGGCGTGTTTCGCCTCAAATTCAGCGCTGCGCCTCCGATGAGGCCTCTTCTTTCTGACAGAGACAGATACTGGCTCAGTCTCACATCCCCCCAGGAGACAGCTGCTGCCTGCTCCACGCCTCCTCCTCCTCCTCCTCCTCCTCACTTCAGAGTCTCCTCTGCTCTCCTGTCCCACGGTGCAAACTGTCGACACGACACTCCGCACTTTGCACTTTCCTGATTGTCGCTTGTTTGAGGCCTTTTCCTTCTTAACCCTTTTCTCCTTCGCCAGCTTCTTTGTGTTGATCTTCCTCCTGTTGCGTGGCGCTTTTAGCGGCGGAGTTCTGCCACACTCACATTTCGTCTCGTCCCCACATTCACACCTGGACAGGCTGATGCACATCCCCTGTGTGCCAGGCTGGCTGACAGACTCTAATTTACAGCTCAGGGCTGTGATGGCTCTTTTCCTGATCCCTCCTKCACCCTCTAATCTTCCTCCTGGAGGATTCTGGGAGTTTGTGTCAGAGCTGTCACTCAGAGCGGGGTCGGACGGATGGGAGGCTGCCCTCTCGCCGTTCTCCTCTCTCAGCGTGCGCYGTCCCTTTTGCGACCGCATTGCCGGCGATGGAAGGGTTTTGTTCTCGAGGAGCAGATGCGCCTCTGTCTCGGCGCCGATATGTCGCTCCCGCTTTAAAACCTCATCACGCCTCCTCCGTCTGCACGCTCTCAGCTCACCTCTTGCTCGTCTTTGTGCGGTTGGCTCACCTGAAAGAGCGCGCAGCTGATTTWGTTGTGACGCCTGCAGATCCCCGGTGAGCTGTTCTGGCGCTTGAACGTTCACGCAGAGCGGGTTGCAGCTGAAGGAGACGTGTGGTTCAGACTTGGTGAACTTCAGTAAACTGACAGGCCATCTCAGACGGCTTGAACCGTTTCTCCCCAGCACACACAGAAAGCGACTCGGCTCTTCCACTCTGTCGGATTCTTGCTTCGTCTCTGTCTCGTTTGTCTGTCGGGGCTCCATGTGCACCAGTGTGAGTGTTGTGCCCAATGTGGTCACCTGCGGCTGTGAGCCTTGTGAGTCGTGAGTCCGGAGATGAGGAGCTGCTGTGGAAATAGAACCACCTCTGTTTGCTACGTCTGTTTTTTCCGTTTGTTCCTCTTCTTTCTTCGCATCCCCTGAGATCATCGGAATCGGCAAGTTACAGTCCGACCTGGACTTTTTCCTCTTCTCCACCTCCATGATTTCCCGGTCAATGTCCTCCATTATTGCTTTCACTCGTTCTCTCATTTGCTCCCTCTTCTCTCTCTCCTCCTCCTCCAGGTCGGAGAAGACGGAGGCGGAAGGCTCCAGCCTGGGCCCTCGGCGTGAGAAGCAGAAGGACACCCCGAGCCGGCCTCCCACTCTCCCCTGCGCAGTGAGGGGCAGCTGGGGACACACGCTGTGGCAAGACTGAGGCTGCGCCGCAGGAGAGTCCACGTGAGACGTTGCTGTGATTATCGGAGAGTCTTCTAAAGTCGCGGCTTGAGGTATTTGTGAAAGAGGCTGATGTGAAGTTTTAKACTTGTGGCTGAGAGTTCTGGGTCGTGCAGCGGGGATTTGCTGGGGTCGGTTACAGGGTTTAGGGTTGTCCTCTGAGCAGAGTTTTCTTTGGTCCACGTCTTCATCTTGTTTCTGACAAACATCTCCTACTGCATGCTTGAGCCCACAAGTCCTTCTTGGGAGTCTGCAACAAGATAGAAAGAGAAAAAAACAAAGTTGTTTGTTTGAGTTAGTGTTATTTATCTATCACCTTCAGAAAATCAAAAACTTTATGGCCTGATGCTGAAAGGGGGAAAGGATRTGACACAACTTTGACCCGCGAGAGGGAGCAAAAATAAATATTAAGCAACATATAGACATTTTTTCACAGAAAACGTACCACAAATTGTAGCATTCAGGGTAATTTAGGAAATTAATATCCACCTCACTAATATTTACACTCAGGAGTTGCTACTGGTTGGGAATGTAATTGTAAATAGTTTGAACTTATTATCAAGTCCAAGGAATCCAAAGTTCTTCCCATTACAGTCATTCACACACACATTCACACACTGATGGTACACTGCAAAAAATGTCCACCTAACCAAGTTTTAAAATCTTATACCAGCCAAAAAGTCTTCTTGATCTTGTTTTGAGACTGATTTACTAAACAGGAACTGACTGTGTAAAAATAATCTTGTTTTCAGAATGTGTAAGATTATTTGTCTTGTTAGTCTGAAATTTTGACTCAAATTAAGTCAAAAATTTCTGCCAGTGGAGTAAGAAAATTTTACTTTTATTCTTGAAATACTTGATTTGACTCAATGTTTTCTTATTTCAAGAATCTTACCAAGTAAACATTGAGTCAAATCAAGTATTTCAAGAATAAAAGTAAAATTTTCTTACTCCACTGGCAGAAATTTTTGACTTGATTTGAGTCAAATTTTCAGACTAACAAGACAAATAATCTTACACATTCTGAAAACAAGATGATTATTCTTACACAATCAGTTCTTGTTTAGTAAATCAGTCTCAAAACAAGATCAAAAAGACTTTTTGGCTGATTTAAGGTTTTAAAACTTGGTAAGATGGACAGTTTTTGCAGTGTAAGCTCACTTTAGAGGGACTAAGACATCAGAAACATGCTTTACAACAACATGAGTCCAAATGTTCTTTTAGGTCAGAATGGATGTAGAGTTTTTCAAGCCAAAAATGAGACCCTAACCAGGTGGATGTCAGTCTGAAGTGCTTATGTCTTGCATATGTATGAAGACAGCATCGATGCCGAGGTGTGTGTTGAAAATTTATAGAGATGTGATGGCATCGAGGCAGCGTCTCTGACTGGGAAGCCCAGGATAAATGCCACACTTCGTCCTGCACAATTTACAACAGCAGAGCTTCATAAACACAGTCTGTGTGTCCCTGATCAGCCCGACTGCAATCCAGATCTGTCTCCTGCTGAATATGTATGACACATCATGAAGAGGAGAATCAGACGGCGACAACTACAGACTGTTGAGCAGACAAAATCTTTTATTCAGCCAAAAAAAAAAAAAAAAAAAAAAAAATGAACCGAGAGTCCTCTTGTGAAAGCACAAGGATGAGTATCACAAGGTTTTAGATGATTCAAATGTAGAATAAAAGGAGAAGGTGATAAAAAATAATTGTGTACATGCTTTTGTGCCAATCTCGTGTGTGGGCGTGCTGAACATACCAGATATGTTTTTACTTTTGAAGCAGGTTGTTGTAGGTTAATTATGGAAGATGTTCAAGATTTTATGTGTCATGATTAGGTTCTTACAGACAGGTTTGTAAACTAAAACAAMAATTCTCTAAACAGAAGAACGCTGTCAACAAACAAAACAAAACCGAGGATGAAAAGAAGAATGCAACAACAATATTGATTTTAGGATGGCCTTTAAAATCCACWGTTGACTCCTCGAGAAGTTGAAAGCTGAAGGTGTAGAGATGACCCCCGCTGCYGCTCACCTAAACAGCTTTGGAAAAAAATCCAAAAACCACTCTTCTTGCAAGACGACCTGAGAGTCTCCCAGAACCAGAGGCCTTTTCTGAAAGAATGTTTGAAAAGAGAAGAAACCCTGGACATGAGTTTCTAACAAGCTGCCACGCTTACCAAAGGCTGTTAAAGCATTGCCTCGGGACGTTGTTCTGCTTGTTGTTTAGGAACTGCAAATGAAGAAACTGAGAAAAAGAAAATTCAAACATGCTCAGAATATAAAACTAAACTGTTTTCTGTCGCCTTATTGCTTGTAAATACCCTTACATTGGTGTCAGTGTCACCGTTCTTTATATGTTATATGATTGTTTGTGAGAACAAATAGTAACACTTTTAATGCAACCTATTTCTGCTGAAGTGACACTTTAATGTGAAATTGTTGACAATTTAAAAGTGGATAAAAAARTGTACAAACTAAAATGAATTTATTTTGGGTCTTGGCCTCCCTCTAAGTTATCAGTCGAGTCAGAACGAATCAGTTTTTCCAAACTGAAATCATTCAAATCTTCCTTAATAAACCATCTTGTGGTGCTCCTGGACACCTGTAACCTGGTATCATGGTGGGGTTTGGGTCTTTCAACAATCCAACCCCTCACCCATGCGATCAAGCCTCAGAGTGCTACCCCACCCATGCCCCTCCTCTCCTGATCCACAACCACCTTAATGCCACTTCTGCTGCGATGGTAACTGACTCGATGCCTGTGTGCCGACTGGCCCCTGTAATGCCCACCATCCTGCAGGCTCTGCAGAGGGACTGGTCYACCTCTAAARCCCACCTCCATGGGTTCACATCTMGCAAACCATTCATTCCTCCAGCTCCTCTCCACTAGCTCCACATGTCCCCTGTCTCACATTAGACTCCTCCTTTCGGCCCTCCTCAGTGAGCTCCAACAGAACGACCKGCTTGTCGGTTTCTGAGATGAGTGCGATGTCTGGCCTTCACACTGTTTTGGTGACSGCTTCTAGGAACTTCACCTGTTTTCCAGGTAAGATATTTACAGTGGGGCGCAAACGTTTGGGCAGCCTTGTTAATTTTCCTGATTTACATTTATAAATYATTGATTGTTTAAATAAAAAAATCAGTTCAATACATAGGGGACAAACACAATGATATTTGAGAAGTGAAATGAAGTTTATATGATTTACAGCAGTGGTTCCCAACGCTGGTCCTCAGTACCCCTATCCAGCATGTTTTACTTGTTTCCCTGCTATTCTGCAGGTCTTCAGAAGATTGTTAATCACTCAATCATTTAAACCAGGTGTGTCAAATCAGGGAAACATCTAAACATGCAGGAAAGKAGTCCTTGAGGACTTGGGTTGATAATCACTGCTTTGATACATGTTATCTGATATAGTATTTACAAATAAATGGCAAAGAATCAATGGCTTCCAGAGACTACTAAAAACCATAAAACTGAGTCAATATTATATTTTGAAAATGTCTCATCAAGCTCAGAGAAGCTCTTGAGGTGTTGGTCAACATTTAAAGTAGTGATTTTGATGATGATGATGATGATGAAAGCCTTTATTGTGTTTGGACAATTAAATTACATTTAAGAACACCCATTCAAGAAGACACACACATGACAAAAACATGGGGTAACAGGTGTTCAGGTCATGCAGCAACCAGTAGGGGTCGCGCTAACTTTAAAAAGCTTGGAATGCACACAATAGGAAAAATGAGTTTAAAAAGATGTTTCCCTGATTTGACACACTTGGTTTGAATGAATGAGTGATTAACAATCTTCTGAAGACCTGCAGAATAGCAGGGAAACAAGTAGAACATGCTGGATAGGGGTACTTGAGGACCAGGATTGGGAACCACTGATATACAGAAAGTGTGCAATAATTGGTTAAACAAAATTAGGCAGGTGCATAAATTTGGGCACTGTTGTCATTTCAAAACATTTAGAACTAATTATTGGAACTCAAATTTGGTTTGGTAAGTTCAGTGACCCTTGACCTCCATACACAGGTGACTCCA